CCAAGGTCAAAACCTGGGAATGTACATACTTGAGTGTATGGTTCTGGAACATGGGTTCATTATAGTAGATCACTGTCTCTCAAAAGGTGCCTGAACCTCCCCACAGAGCTTTTCAATCCTGATCCCCTCCCATAGGAGACAGTGTTCTCCAACCCTGCCCACGGAGCATCTTAACCGTTTGCTTCCAAAGTGGCCAGGTAAAAAAAGACTTGGCTCCTGGTGTAGGTCAGGCTGTATCACAAAATCAGCTGTGAGATAATGACAATGTGAAATGGCTAGCTAGTTTCATTTAATTTAACAGTTTAAATTACATCTGTGAGAAAGCTAGCTGGGTTGACCTTGGGCAAATCACTGCAACAAAACCTGGGTTTGAATTTCAGCCTTGACATTTACAAGTGGTGCAACACTAATTCAATTAACGAACCTCTCTGAGCCCCAGTTTCCCAAACTGTAAATGATAAAAAATAGTAATGTCAAACGAGACCATGGGTATATAGTGTTAGACAAAATCAGTATAAACATATAGATTTAGATGATGTGTGGATATAGATGTATGTGTGGGTGGGTACTCTGCCCCACTCTGTGCCCTCTGTTCTCACCCTCAGGAATGCCCAGTTCTCAAGCCTAGGGTGTTTGGCAATTTGGTGTAATGACACTCACTGAGCCCCAAATCCTGGTTTAAATCAAGCTTGTGTTCAATTATGACTCTTGTAGACAAATGTTTTAGATTAACCTATGTACCGAATTCTGAAATATCTTTGGTAAAAGGCAAGGAAATTTATATTTACAGATCATCTAAAAATTCCCTTAACTTCTGGTCTCAAACTCTTGCCCCCCCCCCAATCTTCTCCCCCTGTTGCCCACGAGCCAAGCGCTGGTGTCCTACTGTGGTAGGACAGTCTGGTCTCCACCCCGCTGCCCACTCAGGGCTAACCAGCAGTGAAATCGCTGCCCAGTGGACAGAGGAACTGGGACTCGGTCGTGCTCGGAGTGGATTACGGTCCCCCCAACATCCCAACCCCACTGGCTTTGGCGGAGGCAGCAGCAAGGTTGGCATGGCCCCTGAGCCAAACGTGGCTCAGCCGAGGGGGAAGGCTTTGTGCCCTGCTTCCCAAGAGGACGTTCCAGGAAGGAGTCAGATGATCTGAGTTATGGAAACCAAATGGCCCTCCTTTGTTTAGAGAGAGAGAGAGAAAGAAAAAAAAAAAAAAGGCACTCATTTTTGTGGTAAAGTGAAAACAGGCTCCAAACCAAACACTCCCTCTCAGAGCAGAAAATGCCAGCTCCCCAGAGCGGGCCCACAGCCCCAGAGGCTGATAAACCGACGGAGGGCAGAGTCAGGCCTGAGTTACAGCCCCCGCAAAGCGTCCTCAGTCCCCCCAGTGAGGTTTTCCTCTGCTTTGCTCCGGAAATAGTTGGTCTCTCAGGCAGGAAAGGAAAATGAAGGCAGGACAAAGAGAAATGTCTGAGTGACCTAGGCCAATCTTGTCCAGTCTCACTCTTCCAGTTGGGTTGGAGGGCGGGGGAAGAGCTTTGCAGAGAAGGCCCTGGAAGGTGCGTGGGCACTAACAGCCACCTGGGCACGCCGGACCCTGAGTCCCCCTTGTGTCACTATACAATGCACCACCTCTGACTTGGATGCCCACCTCCACGTGACCAGCACTTCCCACAGAATGCGGCCAAGAGTCACGAGGCCTCCTGTGGCCACTCTGTGGCTGCCCCGTGGCTCCTTGGGCTGGCTCCGTGGGCAGGCATCTGCACTCCCAGGTATTGCTAGTGCATGTGCTGCAGGATAAGCCGTGGCCAAGAAAAAAATATAGTTTCTAGTCAGCCATGCCTATCCCAAGTTCGGTTTATTCTCTAACACAAGCCTTTCCTGGAATGGAGAGGCTCTTGGCAAGGGAGGAAAAATGGAGAATTGAGTTCTAGTCCTGGCTTTGCCTCTCACTTGCTGTGCAACCATGGGTCATTGTCGCCTCTCTGAGCCTCCATTTCGCGTCTGGAAAGTGAGCCCAATGCCCTTGCCTTGCCTCGGTTCGCAAGGTTGCTGTAGAAGGAGGTAAAGCATGGCAACAGCCAGACTGCCTGGGTGTGGATCCAAGGTCCCCTGTGTAACACGGGACAACTTTCTTCACCTCTCTATGTCGTGCTTCACCTTTCAAATGAAGGGAATAATATCCTTCCCTGGTAGCACTGCTAGCAGGTTAAATTCGATGATGTGGCTTATGCAAGGCGCATGGAGAGCGCCGACCCACAGCATGGCCTGCGTTAGTCTTGATGGCATGATCATCACCAGAGACTGGGAAGTATCTTGAAAATAAAAATGCTCAGTTTGGGCATTGTGTGATCCGCCAACGTCATCGTAAACTTCCTAGTTTCAGTCAACACACCTCCACTGTTCCAGCAATGTTCCATGATCTGCGAAGGTTAATTCTACATATGGGGAGGGACCTCCAATACTTGTTGTTTTTAGGAAAAATCCCCAAAGCCCCACCATGGCCTACAAGGCCTCGGTCATCTGGTCCTGCTGCCTCTTCTAGCCTCATTTTGAGCCACTGTCTCACTCAAATTCACCAGCCTTGTTGGCCTTCCTCTAGCTCTCAAAGGCTATGGGCTCCTTCCTGCCCCAGGATCTTTGCAGGGCTGCCTGTCCCACTCTGTGTCCTCTTCGCCTAACCACAGGTCTCAGCTTACATCGCCTTTCCTCAGGGGAGCATTTCCTGAACTTCCTTCTCTTTCTTTCTTTGTGCTCACCACAATTATAGTTAAATAGTAACTTGTGTCATCTCCAGCATGTCAGCTCCTCGAGCAAGGTGCTTTCATCTGTTTTGTTCGTTGCAAGGCCTAGCACAATGCCTGACACATGGAAGATATTCAAAAGAATATATTTTTTAATACAAATGAAAGTGCTTAATAACTGTCTCCCCTGCAGCTCTTACAAAACCCATGAAATCAGAGACCATGTTTCTGTTCTCAAAGCCTGTGTCTCCAGTTCATAGAAGGCCTTTAATAAATATTTGTTGAATGAATGAATGATCAGTGAATGACTTGGAATAACCTCCCTAACTTTTCACCACTTGCAGATCTCCCTAGACATCAGAGAAGACTGTAATGGACCATTCTCTTCCTCCTCCTTCCATGGAGACACCGTGCTTAGCACTCAGACATGTCCTCTAACCCTCACCCCAGGTGGCTCTGCTCCTTCAATCCAGGCAGAGGGCACCAGCCTTCCTGGTCCCCACTCAAGCGAGTGTTTAGTGTCAGCCACAGTCCAATGTCATTAGAGACATCCGTTTTGTAACAAATGTTGATAGGAGAATACCATCCTTCAATTATACATGTATTCCTTTCTTCTAGGGCAGGCATTTGTATTCACAGCTTGGTTAAAGGGACTCATATTATTCATCGTCATATACCCCGCAGGTCCTACCACAATGTTTGGTACAGAGCACGCACCCTTAAATGTTGCATCATGAAGGCATGAATACTATATACTGAGTACAGTTAGTAACTTCTCAGCCCCAGAACCTGGGACATCATGAAGTTTTTAAGGAGCTTGAGATGAAAGCTTTCTTTTTTTCACTCATAGAATAAGAGCAAGAACTCTCCACCTCCAGACTCCCCCCATTTTCATCCATCTTTCACAGCTATATCCGCTGCAGCTCCCAAAATCATCCCTTCAAGTTTTTTTTTCCAAAAACCTCCGAAGTTCTTTTCATAGCTAATAGGCCTGTGTCCAAATTCCTACGTTCTCACGCAAAGAATTGAGACCAAATTTCTTCCTATGCTGATCTTTTCAAATCCTACTTACCTCCAACCCTAGAATATATCTTTTGTTTGCTCTGCCTCTGCTCATGCCATTCCTCCCACCAGGAATGCCTCTTCCCAATCTCTCTGCCAAAGCACATCTCAAGTGTTGTGTTCCCTGTCACCTCACCACATCACCCACCTAAAGAGAGCTCTCTGTCTTCTGAAGCTAAATAATATTTTGGCTTAGCCTACTTCTTGTATGTGTCAGAAAGCTTTTCCTTCTTTAAAAAATTGAGAAATAATTGACAAAAAGCATTATATTAGTTTCAGATGTACAACCTAGTGATTCAATATTTGTCAAGAAGGTGAAGTGATCACCACAATAAATCTAGTTAACATCCATCACCATACATAATTACAAATTCTTTTCTTGTGAAGAGAACTTTTAAGATTTACTCTCTTAGCAACTTCCAAACATGCAATACAGTATTATGACCTATAGTCACCACGCCGTACATGACATCCTCATGACTTATTTGATAACTGGAAGTCTGTACCTTTTGACCATCTTCACCCATTTCACCCATCCCCCACCCCTGGCAACCACCAGTCTGTTCTCTGTTATCTATGAGTTCATTTTTTTTTTCTTTTTTAGATCCCACATATAAGTGAGATCATACAATATTTATCTTTCTCTGACTTATTTCACTTAGCACAGTGTCCTCCAGGTCCATCCATGTTGTCACAAATGGCAAGACTTACTAACTTATGACTGGATAATCTTTGTTGTATGAATACACGTATATACACATGCCACATTTTCTTTATCCACTCATCTGCTTAGGTTGCTCACTGCACGTCTTGGCTATTACAAATAAAGCTGTGTCAACAAACTTTCTCCATGAATGTGGCTTCTCTCTCAAACTAGACTCAGACCTGAAGTTCCCTGGGGACCAGTCTGATATTTTCTGGATTCCCCTCAGTTATGCCTAGTCAATGGTAAGAGCTCAGTCTCTATTTGTTCACTGATTGACTCAATTGGTTGTATGAGGTCAGGGACTAGTATTCTAGCAAGAGAACCTTAAAGTTCATTCACTCGAGCGGATTTTATGGCTCAAGACCAGTGTCTAGTTCAGAGTTACTGCTTTTCTCATGTCTCCCAGGATTTGGTGGATGGTCTCTAGGAGTCACTGAACATGAAATTGTAAAGTTGCTTCACTCTTCTTAATCCGGTGACTTCCTTTTTACAGATGAGAAGCCCTTCACTGTGGAAGACACTTACTTGCTGTGTCCAGCACCGATCTTAAAGGAAGTTGGCATGTAAGTTTCCACCAGCAACTGAACCTCACAGCCAGGGAGGAGAGAGGAGGGAGAGGGGACAAAGGGAGAAGAAAGAGTCTCTCTTTGTTGTTGTCACGCAGCCTTGTCTAGACCTCGTCAGGTAACAGTGATGGTGCCAGTGCTTCCGGTGAGCAAGGCACCAGGAGAGATGTCTTATAAAGAGTACCTCCCTTTATCCTCCCAAGCTCCCAAAGAACCAGATGCTCACGTCATCCCAGTTTTACAGATGTGGATTCTATGGCTGAGAGAATTTAAATAGCTTGCCCACCGTCACACTGCAGTAGTGGAAGGGTCTAGTGTCCAACAAAGGTATGTCTCACTTAATCACACCTACCTTTCTAGAGCTCACACTTCCCAAAACCCTCCCAACCCACATTATCTCACCCTGTCATCATAATTGCTCTGCTGGATGATTATCTCCTCCTTAGACATAAGGAAACACGGAAAGGAAGCTCAGAGGGGTTAAGAAGAGTGGGTTCAAGACCCCAGATTCAGACTTCTGGGCCAAGCTCAATGCTCCTTCCTCTGTGCCCCTGCAGGGCATCAGATATCTGTTGGGTGTTCGTCAGAGAACACAAACTCGCTTCTCTGTAAACATGATTGTAACAGGCTGAAGAGAGAATGGTGGCTTTGAGGAAAAAATATTAAACATGTTCATCTAACTTCTGCTTTCAATCATTTGTTCTAATTGTAAAGCCTCCAAGTCTGGTTGCCTAACACTGACCTTCAAGTCCACTGGTTCCACAAACTAACCCTGTGTCCATACTGCCAAAGACAAGCAAAACAGAAGCTCAGGTTTCAGTGAGTCTCACAGAGATAGAAGGAGGGTAGAAGGTCAGTCATCCACTGCTGTACCTCCGTGAGCTTGTCAAGGTGGTAGCAAACCCCCTCATCAGAATCAGTCACAGAGAGCCCGGTAACCACAACAGAACATTCAGTTTACAGTTTGACAAGTGTACGCCCACAGACTCAAGCCACATTTTGGGAAAACTTCTTCCTACGACAATGTGACCGGTAAATTAAATGGTAGCAGGCTTTGCCGGTTCAATGCAATTCGCTACCACGTAAGACAGGCTGAACGCAATACCTTGACACACCAGCCAAGGGTATCCCGACACCTCTCTAGAATGTTAGAGCATACGGGTGGGCCCTAGAAGCCATCCTCCACATTTTACAAAAGAGACCCGCTCAGGCCCCCAGGGGAAGAGACCACAGTCCCCGGGCAGTTAGGAGCAGAGCCTGCAGGGGACTTAAGCGTCCGGCTCATGGCCCCTTGCTCCTCGCGCACCATGCTGAGTGTCTCTGGCTCCCTTGTCATTGCAGGAAAGCCGCACTTCAGGTCAGCATGAACGATGGCCTCTCTTTCATCTCCAGTTCTGTCATCATCACCACCACACGCTGTGTAAGTCATCGCCTTCCCTTTCCTGAAGGCTCTATTTGTCATTCTCATTTCCTGGAAGTTTCCGGTTCTGCATTCTGTTCACTGAGCTTTGATCCCAGCCCTGCAGGGCCAGCTGTAGGCTGGATCCGGGGCATGTGGGACCCCCAGAGGGTATCGGGAAGGCCTGTGTTGGGTTTCTCCAACTGGTCTACTTCTGTGACCGAGAGTGAGACCTGGACGCACTGGTGTGTCCAAATGGTAAGACAGGGCCAGAGTCTGTGCAGTAGTGAGGGGGGATATCCAGACGGACTGGGTCTAGGAGGAAAAGCGCAGAAAGAAATTGGACGGCACACCCAGAAAGCACATCTTAGGGAGCTTTTCCCTAAACAGAAGCAGGGCAATAGGGCAGTAACTAAAAGGCAATGTGGAATATAAGGAGAGTCTCATTTAGAATGGGAGAAATTGCAGCTTGTTTATATGATTGTGGAAATAATCCAGGAGAAAAGGGAAAATTGGTGAAGCAGCGTGGAGGCGGGGGGTGCAATGCCACAGGGATTGTAAGGCAGGAGTGGATTGTATTCCACCAGCTCCTCAGACACCCCTTCTCTGGGTCCTTAATGGCAGGTGGTTTTTATTTCTGGTTACACATAAAATCACCTGGATGACTTTTTAAAAAATTACGATGCCCAGGCCTCATGCCGGGCCAATTGAAGCAAAGCCGGGAGTGGTGGTTCCGAGGCCTCCTGGGGAGGTTCTCAGGTGGCAGGCCTTCGGCCAGTGTAGCTACTCCCTCATGCTGGCAGGATCTCAGAGCTCAGCCTATCAGAGGGCTGCCAGGGCTTAGTGGCTCTTCTGCAAATCTCAGCCCCTAACACGAGCAGTTCCAAATTAACCTTTGTCTGAATAGTCAGGAGTTCTAACCAGATGCATTTTTTTTCCATTGGATCATTCTAACGGCTAATGTGTTTGGCCTAATGGTCAGCTTGGGTGGATACTATGGTCACATCCTGCCTGGGCTTTGGAGGACATGTCATTAGAACCCCTCGGTAATGGGGGCTTGTCTCCCTAACACTGTCTCAGATGGACAAGAGATGGCAGGCATGCCCTGAAGTCAGACAAGATCAGAATGGGGGATGGGAGGGATGGGGTGGCTGGGTGATAGACACTGGGGAGCGTATGTGCTATGGTGAGCACTGTGTATTGTGTAAGACTGTTGAATCACGGACCTGTACCTCTGAAACAAATAATAATACATTATATGTTAAAAAAAAAAAAAAAGAAGAAGATAGCAGGAAGGGAAGAATGAACGGGGGGAATCGGAGGGGGAGATGAACCATGAGAGACGATGGACTCTGAGAAACAAACTGAGGGTTCTAGAGGGGAGGGGTTGGGGGGATGGGTTAGCCTGGTGATGGGTATTAAAGAGGGCACATTCTGCTTGGAGCACTGGGTGTTATACACAAACAATGAATCATGGAACACTACATCAAAAACTAATGATGTAATGTACGGTGATTAACATAACATAATAAAATAAAAAAAAATGAGTCATCTCATAAATAAGCAGGAGGTCCGGCCTCATATTGGACAATTTTCCCTCTTAACTTGCGCCCTGCGCCCCCCCCCCACACACACACACATTTCCATCCCGTGGTAGGAGCAAATCAGTTTTCTTGAAAGCAGGGTAAGCCAGTGCAATGAGTATAGACAACGGAAAAGTTTTACTTGACAAAAGTAAGAAAGTAGGGTTGTCACAGAGAAGTGTCACCACTGAGAAAGGTCCATGTCTCAGGCACCCCTCAGTGGAACATCAAATCCGGAGACCAAAATGAAAACCTTTTGGAGAAACAGTGAAATTTCTTTAAGTGGACCCCGCCTGATTCTTTTAGAAATTGACCCTTCTGGAACTTGCCAACCTGCAGGAAATGATTAAAATACCCCAAACCTAACAATTCCATTCCAGATTCCTCCCTGCTTTTGAGTGATCCAGCAGTTTGGGCCTGTATTTCTCATTATGTCTGACCGTACCACAGAGAAACAGCCATGCCCTTGAGGCCACAAGGGCATGGGGAGGAGGAAGAGAAACATCTCAGGAAGTTTTGCAAACTTGTGGTATGGCAGCTACAAGACTAGGACTATGGCTTAAGTCCTGGGCCCGTAAGCTAAGAAAAAAAGGTGTCCTTACTATTGTACTGTGGAATGAAAAGAGTTCAGAGCTAAGTCCCCTCTATCTTTCCAACTCCTTCTTATATCTCCCTTACCTGAGTGCCCGTCACTAAGTTTTCTGCTCACTTGACCCTTGACAAACACCACCTCATTACATCTTCTGCATTATTGCCCTTTTCACTTGCGAATGCCATGTGTCTACAACAAAATTATGAACACCCTAAGATTTGAGATCCAGGACCACTCATTCATTTATTCAGCAAATATCCATTGATCATGTATAATGTGCCAGGCACTGTCCTGGGTCCCTGGAATACATCAGAGAACACTACAGACAAAGCTCTCTGTCTAGTGGGGAAGGGCAGAGGGAGAGAAAGCAGACAAGAAACAAGAAACCTAACAAATGAGTTACACACTATGTCAAAAGGTAATATATGCTACAGAAAAAAGAGAGCCAAGTAAGACGACTTGGTACTACTTGAGTGAGTGTAATATAAACAGAGATGCATTGAGAAGGTACCATTTGAGGAGAGATTTTTGAAGCTGACTGTGAGGCTACTGGGGGAAGAACATACCAACCAGAGGGCCCCAAGGGCTTAGACCTCAAAACCAGAGACACTCAGTGTGTTCCAGAAGAGCAGGAAAGCTGGTGGTCTGTCGATGGAAGAGATCCAGGGAGGCGAGTGGGAGATGGTGAGGTCATGGGGATGGAGAGTGGAGGGTCTTGTGAGAACTTTGGCTTTTGCACAGAGGAGCAACATGAGCTGACTTGGATTTGAAAGATCACTCTGGCTGCTGGAACAGCCCGTGGGAAGACAGGGACGGAAGAACTGTGACCGGTTAGGAGGGTTATGGCAATATTTCAGGCAAAAGATGATGCTGGCTTGACTCAGCAGGGAGCAATGGAGATGAGAGAAGCAGTCAGAGTTGGATATACCATGAAGGCAAAGCCAATGGATTTCCTGAAGCATTGGATGTAGGGCTTGAGAAGAGAGGCGTCCAGCATAGTCCCATGGGCTTCAGCCTAAGTACCTGAAAGAATGGAGTTGCCCTCAATGGACAGGGGGAAGACTGAAGGAGCAGATTTGGGGTGGAGGGGGAAAACCAGGAGGTCAGTTTTGTGGTCAACTAGTTGTGTGGCCTTGACCAACGTGTTTAGCCCCTTTGTGCATCAATTTCCTAATCTGCAAAATTAGAATAATAATACTTTATCTCTCTTTGCTGCATTGTGAATATTAAATGGAATGGTAGATGGTAAGTGCTTGGTAGAAGGTCTGGTAGGGAGTAAGTGCTTAATAAATGTTAGCTGCTATCTTAGTAGAAGCTTAGTCAAAATTATTGAACTAACTGGAAATTGTTTCCAGAGAGTTGGTTCCCACTTCAGAGGCCTGTTATAATAAAAGGAGTCTCCTGAGATAAGATGGATCCCTAGGGGTCCATGTCTGTCACTCAGCCAAGCGCAGGTGATTGAAAGGAGGCAGACAAGATGGTCAAAATCATCTAGGGGAAAAAAATGGGTCTATAGTCAAACAGAAAATCCCAATCTCCAATAGGACCCTCCACAGAAGCTCAAATTTAAAAGACTGAAGCCATCACTGGACAAAATAGAGATGCAGGTGGAATGTGTGGCCATCCAGGATATGACGTAAGGTCTTGGACTTGGCGTTTGTTTCTTCGGCAGCTGGTTTGGAGGACAAGGTTTTTAGATCAGAAGTGATCCCCTGGGTCTGAGTAAAGGGTTTAGTCTTGTCAATGCCAGTCACAGCCTGTCCCGTCCATCACCTGGAACCAAAAATAATTTTAAAATATGTAGTTGAGACTTTTCTTTCCTCGCTTTATTTGGTGCCCATTTGGACAACCATGCCATAGTTTTCAAGATCCACAATGAATAACTATTGTCCCTGCCAGGAGCAGAAATTCCATGAAGTTTTACAGGAAAGAGTTTTTTCCATCCAAGAGCTAAAAGATTCCTATACAAATGGTAAACTTTGTGAGCTCCAGGACTCCTGGACTCCAGAAAAAGGTCAAACATCCAAAGTCCTTTCACCAGCATATGTAAATACATCCCATCTTTAGAGTCTCAACTGGCCTCCCTCCCTTTTCTTCCCCAGCCTCTAGCCACAGCAGGGAACATCACGACTATGGTGCTGCCTTAGGGGAAATACTTAAAAGAAGTTTGTCTTTTTGAAAGCAAAGCAAGCAGATGTTAGGACCTTAAAGAATTTTTCATGAAAGATGGTCTTCTTTTACATAAATCCCTTCAAATTTTATAATTTCCCAACCAAAGTGTATAAAAATCAGAGAATCCCTCAGCAAGTATTTCTTGAAGTCCTACTGTGTCATCACCGTTCCATTTACATTTTACAAAGTTGTTACCCGTAAGGAGCGTAAAATCCACTTGGAGAAAGAGCTCAACAAACATATAAAGGACCGTGTAAATAAAGAACAGGATGGTGGGAGCCAGGTGTAAATGCTGTAGGATTTCAGAATGGGGAAGAAGGAGCGAATTCAGGAAGAGACAGGAGGGCTTCACGGAGGAGACAACCCAAGTGGTGATTTGAAAAATGATAATTTCAGGTGAAGAGGCAGGAAGAGGCTGTCGGCTAAAGAGAAACCAACCCAAAGAAGGACTAGGTATGCCTGAGAGCACAGTTAATTCATGGTGCCTCCCGGGAACCATAACTTTTTTTTTCTTTTCCTCTCATTTTGTTTCAGTTTCTGGTGCCTTCTTAATTTGGGGCCATTTCTCAGGTTGGCAACTACTCTCTGAGGATGCACACTCTGTGCCCTCGATCTCCCTGTATGTAACAATGAGGCCCAGCTGATACCCTTCCCTATTAATTATGATCAGGATT